CGAGAGCAACTCGATAAAGATCTTTTGCGTATACGTGAAGACGGAAATACCGATGAACGCTGGTCTTGGCAGCACGACATCGTTCGCGTATGTGTCGCGGCATGCTTTCTACATTGGTCGTCTACAGAGAGGTGATCATATGAATTTAGTTTTGATGAATTACTACTAATTGGGAATCTGCCGTGGAATGCAGGAAACGTATATGTAACGTTAAGTATATAATGGACATTTCTGTATGTTTAACAGTAACATAGCTGCAAGGTGTCAATTGCTTAACTACTTAGCTTACAATAGATCCTCTTTATTAACGCCAGAAAGAGATTCTTTGATCGATTCGACTGTTTGCCAGAAATAAGTACAAACAAATAGAATATGTGGCACAAATAATACATTTACATCCCGAGATTATCGATCGCTATTTGGCTGCAATAGATGAAATATCAAATAATATTTCAACAAAGTTAGCATTAGATGATCAGTTCGATATATTACAGGTATATTTTTTTCACTTCTTTACAAGCGACATATTACTTCGTTGTATAATGTTTTTGTGTAATATCATCTAAAAGATGTGCAAATATAATTATCCGATACAAATGCAGTATTGTTTTTTAATTTATATTTTTTAATACTTTATAGAATTACATTCAAATGAATCAACATGTGCTATCTGAGTTAAATTTGTCGAATGAAAAATTGAATGATATTTCCGATATTGCATACGTTTATGGTTACGTGGGAAAACTTACAGGTATTGGTGAAAGGGAAATTTGCATATATTTTGCTACGACCGGGTATTTCAGAAGAAGAAATTGGTAATATTTCCGCACACCTAGAGTCCAATTTTCCTGTTACGATAACTAGCATAAGTTGTGACGAAATAAGAATTGAGGATTAATATTAAATTTATCGATTTATAATTATATAAATAAATAAATAATAACAATAGCTAACAATAAATGTAAACAAAATTGTGGCGCAATTACTAATTCAAGTACTGTTTCAAAGAACAACATGCACTTTTGTTTAACATATTCTTTTATTTAAAGTTTGTTGTTTGTGATTGACACCGTATTAAATTACGAAGTTCAAAATGAGGACTAATTGAATATTCTAAAATATGTCGAATACGTCGATATTAGTTTCTTCTTTCGTATGCTATCCCTTTATTTCGAAAGTGCAAATTGAACAAAGATGTTGCCAAGATAATAATGCGAGGCGATAAAACATACCGCAGTCTTTTTCAGTTCGCAAATTAATAGATATACATAGGATTCATAATTCGTTTATAAATTACATAATGCTATTACTGAATAAAAAGTGGATCAATTAGTACTAGATTAGTACTAAATTATTTTTTTCGTAATAATTAATAAAGAATTAGTAAAATAGAATTCATGAAATAAAATTCATTTGATATTGTTTTTTAAGCGGATAATGTTCATAGCTGTACGGTTAATAATGCGCGTGACTATATTTTCTCTGCTGCGTAGTTTAAGGTTTTTTCGACTCATTTTCCATTTTTTAACAAATAACAATGTTATGTAGTTCGTGAAAGCAAATTATAAAATACATTTTATATTTATGATCAATTATTATATATGATTTAATTTTAGACACATATAGATTGGTTATACATGTATTTATTATATTATTAATCCATAATAATAAAAGAGACCATTTTCGATATATTTTATCACTGTCCAATAAATATGACATATGAAAAGAGCTAATAAGCTCATAAAATGATAATAAGAAGCTTATTTTAATAAATTGCTAAAAAAAATTATCTATTTCTTTATTATTACTTAACACGGATTTAGTAAAACAACAGAAATCGCAATAGTGATAAAGTTTCGAATAAATATATGAATTATTTATATCTTATTATAAATTTATAATTTATAAATTTTTTAATATATTTAAAATCATAATTTATCATTATATATCAGTAACAATTATATATATATATATATATATAATTATATGAATAATTATATGTACATATATATTATCACAATTATACATATATATATGTATATATATGTATAAATATAATTATAAATACATGTATTATAAATTATATAAAATATAATTATATAATTTATATAATTATAGATAATTAACAATATATAAATATAAATATTAATTATAAAATATATAAATTATATATAAATATAAATATTAATATGTGAATTATTTATTAATTATATAAGAATTAAAAAGCAATAGAAAATTTCGATTTTGCGATTTTTAATAATAATGCGTTCTGCAATAATATGGAAAATGACTATTTTGCTATGACATAAAATACTTTTATGTATTATTATAAGAAAATTAGAATTGTACAATAAATAGAGATAAAGAAAAAAATATTAATCACCTTTTTTTCATTTCTGTTTTCAGTTTTATATATTGAAAATTTATCTATTTTTTAAAATGTAAATAGAAAGAGGTAAAATTACATCCTGCTCCGTACCGTGATACGTATTATTGAGTGTTAAGCTTTATGTATGTACAAATGCGATCTGTAAAATAACAAACATAACGCTATTTATCATTTACATCAAAATTATATGATTAAGTACTAACAATATAGTTAAACCATGTAGTTTGAATAATGTAGGTAATGCATTTTCGATTATCTTTATCATTCATATTGATTAACAAAGTTAAAGTAAATTTTTATTTGTAATAGATATTGTGTGCATATATTGTAATATTGCTTAAATATCACGTACATTATGTCAATGCGAATGAGATAATTTTAATAAAAAATGATACATTTAATTATTTTCTGATTATTTACAAATATATATAAATATATTTACATATACGTTTGAATGACTTTTGATGAAAGCATTAAGAAACTTTAACATCGATATTAAAGTTCGGGCCTTGAAAACATTATTATTGTTGAAATAAAATCAGTCAGGACCGAGACGCATAGAGTGGTATAACATGAGAATACATTTCAAGTTTCCGCACTATGTAAAATGATGTTATGTGGAGAACACGTGATGATGTACGGAAAACATGTTGTGGCAACCAGTTTAGATCTTCGTACCACTCTTAAATTCGTTGAATTAATTGATGATCTAAGAAACATTATTAAGATTGAGTTCCCTGATGTAAACCTATCATTGAATTTATCTTTGAAATTAATTCTAAATTTCTTTTTTACTGATAATTTTCTTCCTCTGATTGAAGATATTGTATTGCATAAGCATGTGCAATATTTTATCACCTTAAACGCTTTATGGAGCGCATATGAGCAGAGATATAGTTTGCAAAATTTCTTTGCCTGTTTCTTTACATTGCTCATCAAGAGCAATTCGATATAAAATCTTTTCACGTGCGCTCGGCTACACAATTATGAATCAACGCTAATTTTGGCAGTTCGACATTGTTCGCGATATGTGTCGCGGCATGCTTTCAACATTGGTTCACATCTGCAGAAGGATACTCACAATGATTTTGATGATTAGCAATTAGAAGAATTCATATTATATGTTACGATCTGTGAAAAAATTGTAATATATATATACAATATAATATATAATATATAATTATATTAAACAAGTAAACAATATAATTCAAAATACAACTAATATTATCTTTTATAATACATCTTAATCTATGGATATATATATATATATATATATATATATATATATATGTATATTGTGTGTAAAACTGCGACAATAAAAAACTAGATAAATTGTATCAATGCAATTTATATATTATTTGACAATTTGTTTGAGTCTAACATTGCAAATAATATATGATGTCAGATTATGTGAAAAAAGTAAATACATTTAGTATAATTCTTCTTTAAAAACTTCGACCTTGTCAATATTTTGGTTCGCATATTCGGAGCGCTTGCTTGAGAATTTCACGAGACAAAATCAGTCATAATCGAAACGCGGCTTGAACAACATCAAAACCTACCGGTAACGTCTTAAATAATTTGTGGCTTCTCTGTTTCTATGATAAATAATTTTAATAGTTTAATAGTAAATATATTGTATTCTCCAACTTGTGTGGAATCTTGATAGAAGAAGCAAACATGAATTGTGACAGAGGATTCAGAAGATTTTAGTTCGCAGAGAATAAAAACAATTGGAAAGAATTAATATCCGATTGGATATTAATTCTTATAAGTAGATTCTTATAAATGGATTTTTCTTGCTTTGTATCGATATAATTCGATAATATATTAGTGACACATTATTTTTGTTATCTAATTTTTTACATATCTGACGTTACGTTTCAACTTATATAAAACGAACAAATATTTTCAAATATTCGATGACCTCTTTTCAAATTGTATACATAAAAATACATTTTCTAATATCTATTTCTAAAAGTTGCAGATTAAAAATTTTATAATCAACGCTACATCGATCTTTCAACGAAGAAGAGATTTTGGCACGCAGAAAGTATGATTACATTCAAAATTTCAGCACCGGGTAGGATTATCTTATGCGGAGAGCATACGGTGATGTATGGAAAACAAGTTGTGGCGGCCAGCTTAGGTCTTCGTACCACGCTCAAATTCCGCCAACTACCTCTAGAGTCAGGAATGATTAAGATAGAATTCCCCCATGTCAATATGTCGTTAGACATACCTTTACAAATGATTGTAAACTTTACTTCCCGCGAAAATTATAATATTATAATCAGTAATTATATCCAATTCCTTGAAGAAGTGGGATATTTTATCACTTTCAACGGTTTATGGAGCACATATGAGCAGAGATTTAGCTTACAAATTTTCTTTTTTCTCCTATTGATTATCGCTCGAAAGGAAGAACTCGATATACAACCTTTCCGCGTACACTTGTCCACGGAATTAAAGATGAACGCTGATCTTGGCAGTTCGACGTCGTTCGCGACATGTCTCGCGGCGTGCTTTTTACATTGGTCGTGTCTACAGAAAGGTGACCACAATGGATTTACTCCGGAAGAATTGGAACGAATTTCGGCATACGTGATGTCCTCTGAGGAAGATATACAGAATTATGTGTTCAAGCAGGATCACATGGTGTGCACACACGGTCGTGTAATAGCATATCAATGTAGAGAACCGCTAGACGCCCAGAGTGAAATGATAAATACGCCACAAATGTATATTTTGCTGGTTGATGCAAATTTTAGCCAAAATAAGAGGCAACAAATAAAACAATTGGCCAAAAGGAAATATAAAGATGGCATCGCCACCAATGTTCTTTTAGACCAGATCGATTACATATCGAAAGAGGTTGTTGAAATACTCCGTAAGATCAGGGATCAGAAAACAAACACGAATTTACAATCATTATGTGATCTACAGGTGAGTCTTGTTTCATTTCATTGCGAATTATTTCGTTGTATAGTTTGATGCAATTATTTTTGCATTTATAATAATCTCGAATACATCATTATTCATAAATGGAAATTATGTTGTTTTTTTATTTAAATTTCTTAATGCTTTGCAGGCGAAATTGTCCTCGAATCAAAATTTGCTGCGTCAGTTGGATTTATCGCATTCGAATATCGATTTGATTTGTACAATTGCAGAATCTTGTGGATTCAGGGGAAAACTCACAGGAGATGGAGCTAGGAATGTAATAATTCTATTACCGCCGAATTATCATGCAGAAAACAATGATAAAGTATATAATCTTAAAAGGTGCTTGGGGGATGAAGATTTTTTTGGCGAAGTTGTTACAATATCTTGCACGGGAGTGCGACTTGACTAGATACATTAAAATTGCACATAAATAATTGCATAATCTGATTAATTAAATCTTAATAATTTAGCAAAAACAATGTAGTGAAATTATGAATGTTATAATATTATAATTATATTTTATAATCGAGGAAGGAAAAACAATACACAATTTTATATATTTTCTGTTCCTTAATTTCTCTTCTTTCAATGATATCATGTTAAATTATGAAGTTATAAGCGAAGAGTTACTGTAAATATTTTTATTGTAAACTTTGTCAAAACGATTAATTTTTTATGTGCCACTTTATTTGATGATTTTCGATAATATAGATCGATTCGATAATGTAGAAGATTATCATTTCATTTTATAAATTTCATTATTATAGTGAATATTGAATATTATAGTGAATGTACTCCTTTGATTTTGTGTGATTTATAGTGAATATTATAGTGAATATACTCTTTTGATTTTGTTAATAAATAGCTGTGTATATTTTGATTGATTATTATATAGTCTATTATTATATAGTCCACTTTTGAATACGTAAAACACAAAGATGTGCATATAGTCTAATTTTGCATACATAAAAAACAAAGATGTGCATAAAAAAGATGCAATATATGATGATAATGAAAAGGATGATTTTTTTGGTATAATTTAACAAATGCAAATAGTAGGACATACATATAAGAAAGCCAACTTATACTAGTATTTTATTAATATTTTTTTGTAAGAAACATTTATGCTTTCTCGCGTATAATGTTATCATGGGATATGTGCAAGGAGGAAATAAAAATTTTTCAAAAATAACAAAGTGCGTATCAGCTGAACAAATATAGTTAACGTGTACATATATATTGAAATCTTTAAATTACTATTACAGATATATGCGTTGTTAATAGTTAGTAAAAGAGAAAAAGTGTTCATTTTTTTTATTTTATAGACTGAAATTTTATATATATATATGCATGTAAAAAAATTAACAGACAAAGCATTATTATCCTTTTCTTGATTTTCATTCTTGAGATGTAATCGAGATGATGCATTTTACTTATTATTAATCGAATTAAAATTTACGCAATGCAATCTAAAAATAACAAGGGCGGCACTGCTTATCGCCTGCATCAAAATTACATAATCGAATTCTATTAAATGATGTAATTCAATGTACGAGTATTTTATTTCAATTACAAAATAATGTGCGTCAAAGTATATTTTGTTAGTATTTGCATAAAATATTACATACAAAAAATATAGATATACATGTTCTACGATACGTAGATATATAAATATCACATAAATTGTATCAGTACAAATAAAATAATGACAATTTATTTAACTTTTACACATTACAAATAATATATTATTTTCAAATTTTCAGGTTATGTGTAAGTTTTGTGAATATTTTCTTATTAAAGTATATTAAAGAAAAAGAGAACGTCTCAACATCGTAATCGATGTTTAGATTCAGAGCGTTGCTATTGTTATTAAAAAGAAATCAGTAACGATCAAGACGCGAAATTGTACGACACGAAGTATAAACAGTGTTTTGTGCGATGATGAATGTTACCGAATAATTTTCATATCTTTTTTTTCGCGCGTTGTCCGTATATATTATAAAATTTTAATAGTTAAAATTAGAATGTATTATATAAACTTTTTGTGTATGTGAAGTATAAAAATAGAAGCAACGACAATTTATAATTCCTGTTAACAATAAAAATCAACGAAAGAACGAAAAGAACGAAAATCTGATTAAATTGTATGTGCATTTTTATGTGGAATACAAATTCGATATTGAAGAATTGTTTTTGTCATACAAAGTGGACATTTTTAACTTATATAAAATGAAAAAGGAGCGACAAATATTTTTGGTCAGTAATCGCAATGACCTTCTTTATGTTATATAAATATTATTTAATTCTGATAAATCTCAATAGAAGAATTGCAGTAGGGTTTATCTCTCTTACGTCTTATTATTTAATACTTATTGATCTTTTTGGAGTGTAGAGATTTTTATTCGTAAAAAATGGACGACGCTAAAAAATTGAAAAAGATTGAATTTAAAGTTTCTGCACCTGGCAGAATAATTTTATCCGGCGAACCTTCAATGATGTATGGAAGAAATGTTGTATCAGCCAGCATAGATCTTCGAACAACGCTTAAATTTTGCGAAATAACTGATAATCGAAAAAATATCATTGAGATAGATTTCCCTGATATCGATTTATACTTGAATTTATCTCTAGAACATGTTCTAAATTTCTTTTTATATAATAATAATAATAACGCTAATCTCTTCATAGAAGAATACATCATGTTGCTTATACACGTGCAATATTTTATCACAGTAAACGGCATGTGGAGCACATACGAACAAAGATTTAGTTTACAAACATTTTTTTTCCTCTTTATTTATACTATTTTAAACGAGGAGCTAAGTGCAAAATCTTTCCACGTGTGCCTGACTTCCCAATTACCTATGCGCGCTGGTCTAGGCAGTTCAACATCGTTCGCGACATGTCTCGCGGCATGCTTTCTACATTGGGCACGCCTGCAAGAAGGTATCGACGAATTTAGTGATGAGGATTTAGAACAAATTTCGGATCGTGTTTGGTATTGCGAGGAAATTCTACAAAACTATGTAAGCAATATTGACAACGAGGTGTGCTCATACGGCAAAATAATACGATTTCGACACGGTAATCGGACAGATCCTAATTTTAAAAGATTTCTGAACGTATCAAAAATAAAAATTCTGCTGATCGACTCAAGAATTCGCCAAAATAAATTCGAACAAGTGAAAAGATTGGCGGAGATGAAATTTTCCAATTCTACGATTTTAAATATGATTTTGAATAATATCAATTATATATCAGAGGAGGTTTGTAATACTCTTACAAATATTGATTATATTCAAAAAATCAATTTTCCAACAAAACAATTAGAGTTACAGAATGCATATGAAACATTGAAAGTAAGTTTTTTTTCTATTTTTGATTTACTTTCTTACGTATTTTGAATAGCTTTGTGATTACAACAATTTCAAATCGATGATTATTCATTAATAGCTGTGTACCATTTCTAATTTAAATTTCTTAATTTTGCTTTACAGCATTTCGTTCTATTACATCAATTATATTTTTGTTTCTTGAAATTGTCACATCCAAATATTGATATGATTTGTGACATTGTGAAAGAATATGGTTTTGCGGGAAAAATTACAAATTTTGGTGGAAGATATGTATGTATTTTATTGCCGCCAGATGCAATAGATGAAGATGTCATGATGCTTTCGGCACACCTAATGAGCCTGGGTTATTATGCCACAAAGACTAGCATGAGTTGTAGTGGAGTGAGAATTGATAATTCGTATTAAAATAATCAATTTAATTATATAATAACGAATAGTCTTGTATATACATAATATATACATATATATATATATATATGTATGTATGTATGTATAAAATAAAATAATTATTAATTTTAATTGCGACATTATAAGTAAGAAAAAAATGAACACACAATATTCAGTTTTATATCATATATCCTGTGTTAAAATTTCTGTTCTTTAGATTGATGCCGTATTGAACTTTATAAAATTATTTATAATTTTATTAAATTAAGCGATGTCACTGTGAGCAATATATTTATTGCAAAATTTGTTTATTGAAAATAAATTAATTTTTTTCTTATGCCATTACATTTTCATTATTATACATTTATTTATGCAAGATAAAAAAGAATTATTCTTCAATATATTTTTCCAATCTATATGATCGGACACGAGTAATGACGTTCGGAAAAACGAATTTATTTCAATTTATTTATAAATATATTGCTTCAATATATTTATTTAAATAAATATTAATTATTTTTATTAGTATTATTAATTTAAATAAATAAATATATATATATATATATATATATTTATTATTTCAAATTATTATGTAAGAAATAAATATTCATGCTTTCTCGCTTAATTATATTTTTAATATTAATAATATTAATAATAATTTTATCAGTTTTTATTTATGATTGCGAGAGAGAACCAGGAATCTTAACAGAAGGATAATAAAGCGCGTGTTCTTTGAACAAATATATGAATTATCGCATTAATTGAATGGAAAAATGACAATGAAATATTTTTCTGCATTAATATTTGATAATGTGGCCAGTGGAAATATTATTATCTTTTTAATTTACTATTAATATTTGTGCAGTCTGCAGAAATGACAAAAGAGAAAAAAATATTTCTTCTATGTTTTCATTTTATCTTTAGCTTTATAAATTGAAATTTTATCTATTCGTGGGAAAAGTTATTAAAGAACAAGTATCGCTATTTTACTCCCAAATTGACTTTCCAGTCGGAATTAATGATACACTGTACTTATTATTAACCGAATTAGCTTTATCCATAAAATAATAAGGAAAATTTGCTTACCACTTCTTACATCATAATTTTATTTTGATCGAATTATATTAAATAATATAAGTCAATATGCGAGTATTACGTTTTTATGTCAGGTATTAATTAATAAATGATCTATATCAAATTTCTTTTTCGTTTTTTGTTGTTTTTTGTATCTGCTACATAAAATATGTTTATCGGAAATATATTGTGTATATATACACACACACACACGCACACACATATACATATGCATTTGTACATTTACTGTAAAGCGTCAATATATAAATATTACATACAATTAATGCAAATAAATAATGATAATTTGTTTGTCATAGTGCATGTAACATATCTTTAAAAATAATGTTTATAAAATATAATATTAATATTATCTTAATTTATAATATATAATATTATTATAACATATAATAACATTATTATAATAACATTATTATAATATATTATTATTATATATAATATTATATATTATATAATGCTTATAATATATACAAATTTCGTGCGGTTTTATTAACTTATTGAAAAGTTTTGACATTGTAATCGCGCCATATTTAGATTTATTTCGTAGCGTTGTTATTGTTATTAAAACGAAATCAGTCTGTATCAGGATATGAGAATGTACAGTACAACACGAAATATAGTACAGTATTTGATATGAAAACGAATATTTTCGAATAATTTTCGTAATTCTTTTTTCATTGCCCATAAAAAAATTATAAAATTTTAATAGTTAAAATTATAATGTATTATACACACACACATACATACACACACAATCTTATTTTCTAATTGAAGCATTAAATGTAGAAGCAAAGACAATTTATAATTTGTTACAAACACAATGGAAAACAACGAAAATCTAATTAAATTGTAAGCGTGTCTTTTGTACGGAATAAAAATTCAATATTCAAGAAATTATTTTTGTCATACATACAGTGAGAAAAATGAGAGAAATGTCCGATGAAAAGGTAACAAATTATACCGATCACTTTAATCGGATATCTAATCGGAAAATTCTGAATTTTGAACTTTCTGATCAGATATCCGATCGATTGATATTTTCTGATTGGATATCTGATCGGTTTCTTTTTTGCCGATTAAAGTGATCGATATATCCGTTCCTTTTCACCGGTTTTTTTCTCAGTGTAACCGATGCATTTCTAATGTATGTAAAACGTAAAAGGAGCGACAAATATCTTCGGTCTCGGTGATTTTCTTCATGTTACATAAATATTGTTTAACCCTCCGAGATCACACCTATTTTTTCAAACAAGGAGGTCACTCTGGATCAATATGACCCGAGACGAACTTTGATTCGCCATTTGACCATTTATCCACCGATCGTCTTGAAAAAATTCTCGAATTCACTTGTGACATTATTAAATCGATTGCTATAAAAAAAACAACTGCCTTAGGAATTATTAACATATTAAAAAAATTCGCGAAAAAATTGTTTTTTTAAAAAAAATGAATTTTACGAAAAAATGAACTACAGTTAGAAGGCTTCATGCCCGCCACTTTTCAAATTGCTCGCAAGATATTTAGGAGCAAAGTTGAGGTTCGTCACATTGACCCAGTGTGACCTCGGAGGGTTAATTCAGATAAATCTCTATAAAAAATGAAATACTCAGATTTATTTCTTACGCCTTATTATTTAATACTTATTAATCTTTTTAGACAGAAGAGATTTTTATTCGTAAGAAAAAATGGACGACGCTAAAAAATTGAAAAGGAAGTGTCAGCACCAGGCAGAGTCATTTTATACGGAGAACCTTTGGCATTGGTGTGATAAACATATTGTAGCGTCCAGTATAGATCTCTATACCATGCTCAAATTCCGTCAACTATCTCTAGAATCAAGAATCATTAAGATAAAATTCTCTGATGACCATATATCGTTAGACATATCTTTACAAATGATTGCAAACATCATTTCCGACGAGAATTTTAATTTAGTTGTCGATGTTTATATTCTGTTTTTTAGACACGTGCAATGTATTAACATCTTAAACGGTCTGTATTGCACATTCTTGTTTTTATCTTTAGTTTTATGAGAGTAAGATTTCGTAACAAGGGTCAATAAAAAAAAATAAATAAAAACCTAACCATTTCGAATTATCTTTTGAGAGATTGAAGTTAATATTACATCTTATTTAATTAATTATATTAAATTTAATGCAACGCAATCTATATAAAACAATAAAAATAGCACATTAAATGACATAATTCAATAAACAGTATTTGTGTATATATTGTGTATATACACATATTTTTTTATTTTTTCCGTATAAAATATTACATGCATGTACTTAAACATATTTACATGTATGTATATATGCAAAACTCGTGCATATTGTAAAATTGCTATATATGAAATATTATTTTAAATACAGTGAGATAATGACAATTTGTTCATAACATTGAAAGTAATGTATTATTTTTATAATTATGTCTGTTTTAATAACTTCTTATGAAAATATTGAGAAAATTTGACATTGAAGTTCATATTTATAATTATGATTTCGAGGCATTGTTATTATATTTAGAAAAAATCAAAAACGATCGAAACGTATACAACAAGAAATATAAACGTTGTCTTGCGCGAGAACGAACGTTTCAAATTTTTATTGTCAGTAACTATTTTATTTGGTCCATGATAAGAATTCAATAGATGAATATGTATCATTTCGATTTACATGTAAAACCTTGAAAGAAGAAACCAATTACGATTAATCTGCTGATAAAGGAAGAGCAGGAAATCGAGAATTTGATTAAATATATTCCCTTTGTAAGTATATCAATTTGATAATAAGTATTGACGACGAATTTCTTTTTGTTACAAATCTCATATTATAACTCATAACTCATATTATACATTTGTGCATAGTGATAAGGAGCGACAAATATATCATATCTTCGTCACATGAATACGTATGAATATATATTACGTAGCAAATACGTTTTGCATGGTTTTAATAAATAGAAGGCACGCAAATTTATTTTTCTGTGCTCTATTGTTGAACGATACTGTTTGCAACTTCCATTTCTTTGAAAAAGCAAATATTCTTATTCATAAAAAGGATGATTGAATTTAAGATTTCCGCACCGGGTAGAATTTTCTTAAGCGGAGAGTATGCGGCGAAATATGGAAAAAACTTTGTGATGACCAATTTAAATCATCGTACTACGCTTAAATTCGCCGAATTAATTAAATATAAATTATTAAGAGACATTTGTAAGATAGAATTCCCTGATGTTGGTTTATCATTGAATTTACCTTTGGAATTAGTTAAAAATTTCCTCCATAGTTATGATATTCTTGGCACGAATAGTGTCCGCTTGTTTAAATATGTGCAATACTTTATTACCGTCAACGGTATGTGGAGTACATATGAGCAAAGATTTAGTTTACAAATGTTTTTTTACTCGCTTTTTTTTATCGTTCATCGAGAGCAACTCGATATAAGACCTTTTTGCGTACACGTGAAGACGAAAATACCGATGCACGCTGGTCTTGGCAGCACGGCATCGTTCGCGGTATGTGTCGCGGCATGCTTTCTTCATTGGTCACGTCTACAGAGAGGTGATCATAATGAATTTAGTTTTGATGAATTAGTACTGATTGGGACATCTGCCATGCAATGCAGGAAACCTATATGTAACGCTATGTATCTGACGGACATTGCTGTATGTTTAAACAGTAACATGGCTATAAGATGTCAATTGCTTAATTGCTACTTAGCTTACAATAGATGCTCTTTATTAACGCCAGAAAAGAGAATTCTTTTGATCGATTCGACTGTTCGCCAGAATAAGTACAAACAAATAGAGTATGTGGCACAATTAAAACGTTTTTATCCCGAGATTGTCGATCGCCATTTGAATACAATAGATGAAATCTCAAATAATATTTCAACAATGTTAACATTACATGATCAGTTCGATACATTACAGGTATATTATTTTCACTTCTCTACAAGCAATAATATTACTTCGTTATATAATGTTTTTGTGTAATATCATCTAAAAGATGTGCAAATATAATTATCCGATACAAATGCAGTATTGTTTTTTAATTTATATTTTTTAACACTTTATAGAATTACATTCAAATGAATCAACATGTGCTATCTGAGTTAAATTTGTCGAATGAAAAATTGAATGATATTTCCGCCATTGCATATCTTTGTGGTTACGTGGGAAAACTTACAGGTATTGGTGAAAGGAAATTTGCATATATTTTGCTACAACCGGGTATTTCAGAAGAAGAAATTGGTAATATTTCCGCACACCTAGAGTCCAATTTTCCTGTTACGGTAACTAGCATAAGTTGTGACGGAATAAGAATTGAGGATTAATATTAAATTTATTGATTTATAATTATATAAATAAATAAATAATAACAATAGCTAACAATAAATGTAATCAAAATTGTGGTGCAATTACTAATTCAAGTACTGTTTCAAAGAACAACATGCACTTTTGTTTAACATATTCTTTTATTTAAAGTTTGTTGTTTGTGATTGACACCATATTAAATTACGAAGTTCAAAATGAGGACTAATTGAATATTCTAAAATATGTCGAATACGTCGATATTAGTTTCTTCTTTCGTATGCTATCCCTTTATTTCGAAAGTGCAAATTGAACAAAGATGTTGCCAAGATATTAATGCGAGGCGATAAAACATACCGCAGTCTTTTTCAGTTCGCAAATTAATAGATATACAAAGGATTCATAATTCAAGTTTATAAATTACATAATGCTATTACTGAATAAAAAATGGGTCAATTAGTACTAGATTAGTACTAAATTAGTACTAAATTATTTTTTTCGTAATGATTAATAAGGAATTAGTAAAATAGAATTCATGAAATAAAATTTATTTGATATTGTTTTTTAAGCGGATAATGTTCATAGCTGTACGGTTAATAATGCGCGTGACTATATTTTCTCTGCTGTGTAGTTTAAAGTTTTTCGACTCATTTTTCATTTTTTAACAAATAACAATGTTATGTAGTTCGTGAAAGCAAATTATGAAATACATTTTATATTTATGATCAATTATTATATATGATTTAATTTTAGACACATATAGATTGGTTATACATATATTTATTATATTATTAATCCATAATAATAAAAGAGACCATTTTCGATATATTTTATCACTGTCCAATAAAATGACATATGAAAAGAGCTAATAAGCTCATAAAATGACAACAAGAAGCTTTTAATAAATTGCTAAATGAAATTATCTATTTCTTTACTACTTAAACTTCTCTTTACTACTTTTAATATTTTTAACTCTTTACTACTTTTATTACTTAACACGGATTTAGTAAAACAACAGAAATCGCAATAGTGATAAAGTTTCGAATAAATATATGAATTATTTATAACTTATTATAAATTTATAATTTATAAATTTTTTAATATATTTAAAATCATAATTTATCATTATATATGAGTTATAATTATATATATATATATATATATATATATATATATGTAATTATTTAAATAATTATATGTATATATATATTATCACAATTATACATATATATATATAAATATAATTATAAATACATGTGTTATAAATTTATATAAAATATAATTATATAATTTATATAATTATAGAAAAATAATAATATATAAATATAATTATTAATTATATATAAATATATAAAAATTATTTATAAATATATAATTAATATGTGAATTATTTATTAATTATATAAGAATTAAAAAGGAATAGAAAATTTCGATTCTGCGATTTTTAATAATAATGCGTTCTGCAATAATATGGAAAATGACTATTTTGCTATGCCATAAAATACGTTTATGTATTATTATAAGAAAATTATTATTGTACAATAAATAGAGATAAAGAAAAAAATATTAATCACCTTTATTCCATTTCTATTTTCAGTTTTTATATTGAAAATTTATCTATTTTTAAAAAAATAAATAGAAAGAGGTAAAATTACATCCTGCTCCGTACCGTGATACATATTATTGAGTTGAATTAAGCTTTATGTATGTACAAATGCGATCTGTAAAATAACAAACATAACGCTATTTATCATTTACGTCAGAATTATATGATTAAGTACTAACAATACAGTTAAATCATGTAGTTTGTATAATGTAGGTGTTGCATTTTCGATTATCTTTATCATTTATATTGATTAACAAAGTTAAAGTAAATTTTTATTTGTAATAGATATTGTGTACATATATTGTAATATTGCTTAAATATCACGTACATTATGTCAATGCGAATGAGATAATTTTAATAAAAAATGATACATTTAATTATTTTCTATTATTTACAAATATATATAAATATATTACATATACGTTTAAATGACTTTTGATGAAAGCATTAAGAAACTTTAACATCGATATTGAAGTTCGCGCCTTGAATATATTGTTATTGTTGAAATAAAATCAGTCACGAGACATACCGCGAACGATACCACGTAGTGATATATAACACGAGAAAAGCTCTTTTTGGGGTAAGAAACATTAGAATAAGCTCTGTTTTTCATTTTTAATATAAAATTTTAAATTAATTATAATATATATTATTCTTTGAGAACTTGAAAGAAGAAGGATAATTCTTGTTATTTCGATAACAATAGGAAAAGATAATACTTGTGACTGAATCTATTGAAGCTTATTGAAGAGTAGATATTTTTATTCGTAAAAAAATGATTAAATTTAAAGTTTCCGTTCCAAGTAAAATGATGTTATGTGGAGAAGACGTGATGATGTATGGAAAACATGTGAACCAGCCTAGATCTTCGTACTACCCTTAAATTCGTTGAATTAATTGATGATCCAAGAAACATTATTAAGATTGAGTTTCCCGATGTCAATCTATCATTGAACTTATCTTTGGAATTAATTCTAAATTCTAAATTTTTTACTGATAATTTTCTTCCTCTGATTGAAGACGATATTGTATTGCATAAACATGTGCAATATTTTATCACCTTAAACGCTTTATAGAGCGCATGTGAGTAGAGATATAGCAAACATATTTGCAAACATTTCTTTTCCTGTTTTTTTACGTTGCTCATCAAGAACAACTCGATATAAAATCTTTTCGCGTGCGCCTGGCTACCCAATTACCGATCAACGCTGGTTTTGACAGTTCGACATCGTTCGCCGTATATCTCGCGGCATGCTTTCTACATTGGTCATATCTGCAGAAGGGTATTCACAATGATTTTGATGACTATGAATTAGAAAAAATCATGTTATCTGTGAAAAAGTTGTACCAAACTATGTGTTTGATTGAAGTATGGGATTGATAATAAAAGGTGCATATATGGCCAAGTATTGAGAGCTCAATATCAAAATCCATTAGATTGTAATGTTAAATTATTGCAAGTGCCGAGAATTAAAATTTTATTGATTGATTCGAGAATTCGTCGGAATAAATACAAACAGATGATGCGAACAAATTAAACATTCATCCCGATAAGAGCGATTAATTTTTGCGTAAAATCGACAAAATATCGAAACGAACCTGCATCAGACTCGTAGCAATTAATAATAGCCAGAAATAATAACAATTTGTAACAATTATACGACTCGTACAGATTGTTAGGAGTAATTGTAAGTATATTTTTTGATAATTTTTTTTATATTACTTTGTTATATATTTTCGTGCAATGCCAAAAGATTTAAAAGATTTGCAAATACATAATAATCTGATATAAATAATATCGTTTTTAAATTTAGATTTCTTCGAATCAACGATTTTCAGATGTCTATTTTATCGAATCAAACTATACTTTATAGATTAGGTTTATCACATCCCGAGTTAGATATGTTTAATTGCGAGAAATAATGGATTCACAGGAAGACTCACAGGTTTTGATGGATATGCATATATCCACCGAATACTCCAAGAGAAAACATCATAAATCTTTCAACACATTTAATAATGAAAGATTTCATTGTTAGAATGACTAGCGTAAGTTATAATGGTGTGAAACTTGACGAGGTATAGAAAAATTATCAGTTGTATGAACAGTACGAATAATTATCAATAATTTAATTAACATGAATAATTAACATTAAGTATAAATAATATAAAATTGCAATTTAAATGCGATGTGATATAAATGGAAAAGAACAAATAATATATAATATATTCTATTAAATTGGAAATTCTTGGTCTCTTCTGGTCTACCTAATGCCGTATTGAATTATAAAATTGGAAGGTTGGAATCACACTGTTAATATTTTTATTTCAAAATACATTAAAAAAATTAAAATTTTTCATAAATTACCTCACTCGCGATGGACAAGATAGATTGATTAAAAAACGATATCTTGTCAAGTTATAAACAAAAAAATATACCGAAGATCTTTTTTCGATTAATAAATTGTTGAATTAATTGTATATCTGAATAAACATGCATATATAGCTTACTTTCGGTAGTGTAAAGTATACTTAGATTATTTTATGTATTTATTATTTTATTAATTATAATTGACTAATAAGAATAACAGAAAGAAGGGAAAATGCCATAAATGTCTTTGGTATATTTTTTATCAATCTATATTACAGAAACTAAGCATAATGATAGGAAAAAATTAATTTCTTAAAAATTTTAACTATATTTTGAAAAAAAAATATTTAGACGTATTTATGTTGTATTAACATTATCATTAAATATGGCTGTAATAAAAAGTATGAATTTAATAGTAGTAAAAGTAACAAAATACATGTTTGTCGAATTATCACATAAGATGGCGAAAAATATTGTTATTAATACGTCATAGTATTATGAAAAATATTTATATTATTACGTACATTGTGATATATTATATATAGTATAAATATTTATATATTATTACGTAAACTACAATTATATATAGACTTGTATATTGCATAAAGACAAAGAAAAAAAAAAAGAAAAAAAAATTATTTTTATGTTTTAACTTTATTTCTTTATAGTTTAGAATTTCATCTAATTATAAGTAAAGTCAGTAAAAAAGTATCATCATCCTGCTTCCGATTTTGACTTTCGAGCCGAAGTTGATGATGCATTTTACTTAATCGAATTTACATAATGCTATTTATAAAATAACAATAGCGCTGCTTATTCTTGTGTATCAAAATTATATAATTACATTAAACAGGTAAACAATATAATTCAAAATAACACAGCTAATACTATCTTTTATGATACATCTTAATTATATAATAATCGACGTCGAAGAATATTTTTCATAGATACATATATATGTAAAACTGAGATAATAAAAAAGTAGGTAAATTGTATCAATGCAATTTATATAATATGTGACAATTTGTTTGACTCTAACATTGCAAATAACATATGATGTCAGATTATGTAAAAGAAGTAAATATATTTAGTACGATCCTTCTTGAAAAACTTCGGCCATGTAATCAATATTTTGGTTCGCATATTCGGAGCGCTTGCTTGAGAATTTCACGAGACAAAATCAGTCATTTTCGAAACGCGGCTTGAACAACATCAAAACCTAGCGGTAACGTCTTAAATAATTTGTATTATTAGTAGCTCCTTTTTTTCTATGATATTAATAATTTTAACAGTTTAATAGTAAATATATTGTATTCTCTCAAACTTGTGTGCAACCCTGATAAAAGTAACGAAGACGAATTACGACAGAGAATTCAGAAGATTTTAGTTTGCAGAGAATAAAAACAATTGGAAAGAATTAGAATCCGACTGGATATAAGTGAACTTTTTTGTTTTGTATCGGTATAATTCAATAATGTATTAGTCACACATTACTTTTGTTATACATATTTAACGCATTATGTTACGCACCTTCAACTTATTAAACGATTATTTTCTCGATGACTTTTTTTTGCATCAAATTGTATAAATAAAATTGTATAAATAAAAATACATTTTCTAATATCTCTAAAAGTTGCGGATTTAAAATTTTATCACAAACAGTGCATCTTTTGACGAAGTAGAGATTTTGATACGCAGAAAGTATGACTACATTACAAATTTCGGCATCGCGTAGGGTTTTCTTATGCGAAGAGCATACAGTGATGTGTGGAAAACAAGTTGTGGCCTCTTAAATCTTCGTACCACGCTCAATTTCTACAAACTACCTCTAGAGCCAGCAATCGTTAGGATAGAGTTGCCTAAGGTCGGTATATTGTTAGACATACCTTTACAAATGATTGTAAGCTTTACTTCCGCCGAGAATTTTTATTTGGTGATCGATAATTATCCCGCTTTCCTTAGACGCGTGGAATATTTTATTAGCTGAAACGGTTTATGGAGAACATTTGAACAGAGAGTTAGCTTACAAATTATCTTTCTCCTCTTATAGGTTATCATCCAAAATGAGAAACTCGTTATATAATCTTTTCACTTGGCCACGCGATTAACAACAAACGCTGGTCTTGGCAGTTCCCGACATGTCTCGCAGGATGCTTTTTACGTTGGTCGTGTCTGCAGAAAGGTGACCACAATGAATTTACTTCGGAAGAATTGGAACGAATTTCGTGATGTACTTTGAGAAAATGATACCGGAGTTCAAGCAGGATCACATCGTGCACAGAAAAAAAAGAAGTGTTAAATCAAATCTTATATACTTAAACTAACGCGTTCACTGTTTCGTATATACGCAACAATTAATCTTCTTGGAAGAATTTAATAATTTTAAATTTTAACAATATTATAGTCTTATTTTAATATTGTAATTGTCACCTCAAGAATATATAATTATTTAATTCTACTTTAAGAAAATCTTTGATTTAAAAATGTTATTTTCTATCCAAGATTTTCTTTTCCGTTCAAAAAAATTAAATCTTAAATCATGAGAATATATTTTTCTCGATTGAACTATATAAAATGGCTTTATTCAAGTAAGCAATTATCAAGCAATTATATTTTTCTTTAATTAACGCAATATAATCGCATTTTAAGATTTCCGTGTTAAAATTAAATATATTTTCAAAATAAGAACGTCCTTTTTTCTGTGCGTGCATACACGGTCGTGTAACAGCATTTCAATATAGAGAACTGCTAACCTAAAGAGTGAAATCATAAATACGCCAGAAATATATATTATGATGATTGATGCAAAAATTTGCCTAGATGAAATGCAATAATTGGTCAACATGAAATATAGATATAGCAACGCCGTCGTTGTCCATTTAAACAAGATTAATGCCATATCGCATATAGATTCAACACTCCGTATAAGAGGTATCAGGGTTCACAGAGCAAACATGGAGTTACAATTACTCGAAGGATTATATGAAAATCTACAGGCAAGTCTTGTTTCATTTCTTTGCGAATTATTTCAATGTATGTAGTTTGATATAGTTGTTTTTGCATTTATAATAATCTCGCATACATCATTATTCAAAAATAAAAAATTGTTGTTTTTTTATTTAAATTTCTTAATGTTTTGCAGACTAGCCTTTCCTTGAATCAAGATTTGCTATGGAATTTGGATTTGTCGCATTGAAATTTCGATACTATTTGTTCAATTGCACTTGTGGATTCAAAGGGAAACTCACAGTAGATGGAGCTAGTAAAGTAATAATTCTATTACCGCTGAATTATCATGCATCAGTATTTCACAAAAATAAAGTTGATAATCTTACGAAGAGCTTGAAAGAAAAAGATTTTATGTCCCAAATTACTACAATATGCACGGGAGTGCGATTTGACTAGGTACATTAAAATTGCACATAAATAATTAAGTAATATGATTAATTAGATCTTAATAACTAACCGGAAACAATCTAGTGAAATTACAAATTTTATAATATTACAGTTATATTTTTTATAATCGAGGAAGAAAAAACAATACACAATTTTATATATTTTTTGTTATTTAATTTTTCTTCTTTCAATAATAATTAATTAATATTATTAATATTAATTATAATAATTATTAATATTAATTAATAATTATTCATATTAAATTATGAAATAATTAGCGAAAAGTTACCGTAAACGTTTTTATTGTAAACTTTGTCAAAACAATTAATTTTTTATATGCAATTCCATTTGGTGATTTTCGATAATGTAGATTGATTGAGAGAACTAATGACATTTTATTTCATAGATTTTATTTTTGTAGACTTTTTCATTTTGTTAATAAATAGTTGGGTATATTTCGATTGATTAGTAAATAGTCTATTATTATACAGGGTGTTCTAAAATGTATTTCAAAAATTTAAGGAGATATTCCTCACATCTGAAGGATGAAAAAGAATATATATATATGGACATAAGTGCGGAAATGCTTATTTCAGGAGTTATGTTAAAAATACTGTTAGCTGTATTATTTACAGAAGGAAAAATTTAGGATTAATTATTATAGACAAATATGCCACCAGTGCGTGATATTCGAAATCTTCATAACCGTATCACTGCAGGTTGCGAGACAATCCGCTGTACGCCAAACATTTTTGAACGCGTCTGTGAATCAATGCGTCGACGTGTCACTGCTTGTATTCAGGAAAATGGTGAACATTTTCAACATTTATTATAACATACTCAAGGTCACATTAAAATCAAATGTAAATAAGCTTAAGTAAACGATTGTCATCTGTAATAATTAATCCTAAATTTTTCCTCGTGTAAGTAATACAGCTAACAGAATTTTCAACATAACTCCTGAAATAAGCATTTCCGCACCTACGTCCATATAACATTTTTTCATCCTTCAGGTGTGAGGAACATTTCCTTAAATTTTTTACATACCTTTTTAGAACACTCCGTATAGTCTACTTTTGAATACGTAAAAACAAAGATGTGCATTAAAAAAGATGCAAGCTAATGAAAAGAATGATTTCTTTGATACATTTTAATAACGCAAATAATAAGACATATAAGAAAGCCAACTTATACTAATATATTTGTGTAAGTAACATTTATGCTTCTCGCGTATAACATTATCATTCGATATATGCAATAAAGGAATAAAAATTTTTCATAAATAACAAAGTGCGTATCTGAACAAATATAATAAACGTGTACATATTTAAACTTTTAAATTACTATTACAAATATATGCGTTGCTAATAGATAGTAAAACAGAAAAAAATGTTCATTTTATTTTTTTATTTTACAGAATGGAGCAATTTTATACATTGAAATCTTACATATATGTATATATGCATGTAAAAAAATTAATGGACAAAGCATTATCCTTTTCTGGATTTTTATTCTCAAAATGTAATCGAGATGATGCATTTTACTTATTATTAATCGAATTAAGCTTTACGCAATGCAATCTAAAAATAACAAGGGCGCTGTTTATCGTCTGCATCAAAAATACATAATCGAATACTATTAAATGATATAATTCAATGTACGAGTATTTTATTTGAATTACAAATAATTTGCGTCAGAGTATATTTTGTTCGTATTTGCATAAAATATTACATCCGAAAAAGTAGATACATTTATATGTGTACTACGAAAACGTAGATATGTAAATATCACATAAATTGCATCAGTACAAATAAAATAATGACAATTTATTTAGCTTTTACACATTACAAGTAATATATCATTTTCAAATTTCCAAATTACGTGTAAGTTTTGTGAATATTTTCTTATTAAAATATATTAAAGAAAAAAAGTACGTTCAACATTGTAATCAATGTTTAGATTCACGATTTCAGAGCACTGCTATTATTATTAAAACGAAATCAGTAACGATCAAGACGCAAATTATATAAATACAAAGAAAACATACTTTGACGTAAATTATTTTATAATTGAAATTGTACGACACGAAATATAAAGAATGTTTTGTGCGGAAACGAATGTTGTCGTATCATTTCCATATCTTTTTTTTTCGCTTTGTCCATATGTGTTATAAAATTTTAATAGTTATAATTAAAATCTATAATCTTTTTTTGTATGTGAAGCATAAAAATAGGAGCAAAGACAATTTATGATTCTCTGTTAACAACAAAAAACAACGTAAAAACGAAGAGAACGGAAATCTGATTAAATTACAAGTGTATTTTTGGATAGAATACAAATTCGACATTAAAGAAATTATTTTTGTCACACATAGCCAACGCATTTCTAATTTATATAAAATGGAAAAGGAGCGATAAATATCTATGGTCTACGGTCTCGGTAACTTTCTTCATGTTACATAAATATTATTATATAATTATGATAAAGCTCAATAAAAGAACTCCAATACTCAGGTTTATCTCTTAGGACTTATTATTTAATACTTATTGATCTTTTTGGAAAGTAGAGATTTTTATTTATAAAAAAAATGGACAAGGCTAAAAAATTAGAAAAGATTGAATTTATAGTTTCTGCACCAGACAGAGTTATTTTATACGGAAAATCTTTGGCAATATATGGTAAACATATTATAGCGAGCAGAATAGATCTTCGTATCACGCTCAAATTCCACCAATTATCTCTAGAGTCAAGAATCATTAAGCTATAATTTCCTCATGTCCATATATCGTTAGACATACCTTTACAAATGATTGCAAACTTCATTTCCGATGAGAATTTTAATTTAGTTGCCGATGTTTATATTCTGTTCTTTAAACACATGCAATGTTTTATCACCTTAAACGGTCTGTATTGCACATTCTTGTTTTTATCTTTAGTTTTATGAGAGTGAAATTTCATAACAAGGGTCAATAAAAAAATAAATAAATAAAGACCTAACCATTTCCAATTATCTTTTGAGACATTGAAGTTAATATTACATCTTATTTAATTAATTATATTAAATTTAATGCAACGCAATCTATATAAAACGATAAAAATAGCACAGTTAAGTTTTTGCGGTAAAATTATAAAATGAAATAAAATTAAATGACATAATTTCAATAAACAGTATTTGTGTATATATTGTATATATACACATATTTTTTTATTTTTTCCGTATAAAAATATTGCATGCATGTACTTAAACATATATAGATGTATATATGCAAAACTCGTGCATATTATAAAATTGCTATATATGAAATATTATTTTAAATACAGTGAGATAATGACAATTTGTTCATAACATTGAAAGTAATGTATTATTTTTATAATTATGTTCTGTTTTAATAATTTCTTATGAAAATATTGAGAAAATTTGACATTGAAGTTCATATTTAGAATTATGATTTCGAGGCATTGTTATCATATTTAGGAAAAATCAAAAACGATCGAAACGTATACAACAAGAAATATAAACGTTGTCTTGCGCGAGAACGAACGTTTCAAATTTTTATTGTCAGTAACTATTTTATTTGGTCCATGATAAGGATTCAATAGATGAAAATGTATCATTTCGATTTACATGTAAAACCTTGAAAGAAGAAACCAATTACGATTAATCTGCAGATAAAGGAAGAGCAGGAAATCGAGAATTTGATTAAATATATTTCCTGTAAGTATATCAATTTAATAATAAGTATTGACGACGAATTTCCTTTTGTTATAAGTCTGTAACTCATATTATACATTTGTGCAGAGTGATAAGAAGCGACAAATATATCATATCTTCGTCACATGAATACATGTTACGTAGCAAATACATTTGGCATGGTTTTAATAAATAGAAGGCACGCAAATTTACTTTTCTGCGCTCTACTGTTGAACGATACTGTTTGCAACTTCCATTTCTTTGAAAAAGCAAATATTCTTATCCATAAAAAGGATGATTGAATTTAAGATTTCCGCACCGGGTAGAATTATCTTAAGCGGAGAGTATGCGGCGATATATGGAAAAAACTTTGTGATGGCCAATTTAAATCGTCGTACTACGCTTAAATTCGCCGAAATAATTAAATATAAATTATTTAGAAAAACTTGTAACATAGAATTCCCTGATGTTGGTTTATCATTGAATTTACCTTTTGAATTAGTTAAAAATTTCCTCCATAGTTGTGATATTATTGGCACGAATAATGCCCGCTTGTTTAAATATGTGCAATACTTTATTACCGTCAACGGTATGTGGAGTACATATGAGCAAAGATTTAGTTTACAAATGTTTTTTTTCTCGCTTTTTTTTATCGTTCGTCGAGAGCAACTCGATATAAGATCTTTTTGCGTACACGTGAAGACGGAAATACCGATGCACGCTGGTCTTGGCAGCACGACATCGTTCGCGGTATGTGTCGCGGCATGCTTTCTACATTGGTCGCGTCTACAGAGAGGTGATCATAATGAATTTAGTTTTGATGAATTACTACTGATTGGGACATTCTGCCGTGGAATGCAGGAAACTATATGTAACGCTATGTATATGATGGACATTCCTGTA